TTTTCTTTCTTGTTTTCTAATTTTCTCTTAGCCTTCTTGTAGCTTTTCTCATAGTTGAATATTAAAGTATACTATAAATTACCTCACTTGAATTTTTTAGATATTTTTTTGAGATGAATATTTCTTCTAATTGACTACTTCAGAGACTTTTCTCTATGACTTGTATTATTTCTAAATATTTTTATAGCTACTACCTTTACTCATATGATCTTTTTTTCTTCATACCTATCTTTATTTAAAGCCTAAATACTTTTTTTGAATAAGAAGTTAGACTTAGCTAGTATCATATTCTTTTTTGATTCTTTTGTAGTATTTGAATAAAGGTTTAAATTTGATCTAAAGATTTTTTTATCTTAGGCTTCTTTAATATTTTCTATTAAACTATAGTTTTTTTTATTTTTTTTACTTACTGGAAGTTGTTCTTCTAGTAAGGCTTGTTCTTTTTTTGTACTATTAACTTTCTTTAAGAAATTCATTTGATCTATTATTTCTATATCTGATTTGCTCTCACTCTCCTGCACTATTAATTCATCTTCTCTTACTATTTTATTCTGAGTTTTTTGCTTTAAAACTATTTTAACTCTATTGGTTCCTTCTGTTATTGCTACTCTTTCTATTACTTTTCTCTATTCTCTCATTACTATTACTATATTACTTTCTACTTCTAAGATTTTTGTGATTATTTTATCTATATAGTTTTCTAGACCTATTACTGCCTCACTTCTTTTTGCTATTATTTCTTTATTATATTCTTTTATTACTACTCTAACTAATCTTATTGTTTTTGCTCTATTTTATATATTTTCAAACTCTATATTCTATTCTTTAAAGTAATCTTATCTTTTTTTAATAATTCTCTGTAATTTTTTCTAATTACCTATAAGCTATCTAGTTTTAGTTTTGTATATATTGTTTCAACTATCAAGTATATGATATGTAAATTTCTTATAACATATTTTGTTTACTTTAGTTTGAATATATTTGTACTATGTCAAATGATCTATGTTTTAGAGTTTGTTTGATTCCTTAAATTTTTAAGCAAAATTTTTCATTATCTGTTCTAAAGTCTAGACTTTTTCTATATTTCTAGTTTTTTTAAGCTTTTTTTCTATTCTTTTACTTTAGTTTATATATTTTTTTCTTTGCTTTCTTTTACTTAATAGCTTTTATACTTGTTCTTAGTAGAAATTTTGTATTTTTTTTCATTTTTCTTTTTATTTCAAATTTGGTTAAAATGATTAACAAAGAGAGTTAAGTAAAATACTATATTATTTTTATTATTTTGAATGATATATATATTTTATTATTGTTATATTTTACTAATATTATATATAATTAAATATATTAGTTGAGGTCTGGCGATCTTAGTATAGTGGTTAGGTTGCTGGACCGCCATGCAAGAGGTCTAGGGTTCAAATTCTACTGTATACAGAATTGAATAATTACCTAGATATCTGTATCTAACTTACATTAAACTCTGCTCGTTTCTGGAGTTGTAACTCTGTAAATCACATTGTACTAATGCTAATCGGGGTATTAGAAGTATGATAGGGCATTCGGCGAGACGTAATATTACACGAATAAATCTTGATAGGATCTACGAACAGGGGACCTGCATAGTAGAAATCCTGAGTTAGATGAAGTAGTACAGATTTCAATAGTCATACCAGTTAACATCTGATCTAGGAAAAGAAATCTGTGTATGAAAAGATCAGCAAAATAGATACGAGTAAATCTTGAGTACAGAAGGATTGACAAAACAGGTGCGAGTAAGTCTATTACACGAGGTCATATAGCAACACCAACTTGGCTTGGTAGCTAACTGGATTTGGGAAGATCTGTCTCGTGTGATATCCAGTAGCAAAGCAGGCAACACTAAGCAACAGATTTGGGAGGATCTACTTCGTGTGATATCTGGAGGCACAGATGACTAACTTAGTAGAAGGCCACAGTAGGAACCGGGTTTATATGAACATCGAACAAGGGTATATGCAAGCTAGATTGAGATATAGCATAGCATATTTGGGTACCACAGTACCTATTGATTAAGAAGTTGGTGAAGGGGTACCTGAGATAGGCCTAGGCTTCAAATCATAAAGTTTGTGGACCAATGTCAGCTCTGTTGATATCTTCCAAAATGGGAGTAGTATAGAGTTAGGCGAATTATGATAAAAATAGCTAGTTAGAATTAGCATATAGTCAGAGAGTTTAAATAGGGAATTTTCAAATAGATTTCAGGTATAGCAGCTAATGTAGAACCTTTGGGCGGACTACTTAAATTAGACAATCTAAAGTTGTACGTGTAGCTAGTTGTACTCTCACAATATGTAATAATTCTCGCTATTTAAATCAATAAAATTCGGCCGATAGCATTTGTATAAAGTAAAAAAAAAAAAAAAAAAAATATATATATATTAGTTGAATATTGTCTAATTTTTTTTTTTTTTTTTTTTTTTTTTAACTTAGGCAATCTTGCTTTTCATTTTATTAAGAAAAAACCTATATAGATCTTATAACAGATACAAAAAAAAAAAAATAAAACTACTCTAAATTTAAGACTGTTCTTTTTGTTACAATTTTAGACTTACTTAGCTACCTACTAGATACCTAAATATGATCAACTATAGTAGTATTTTCTTCTTATTATAAGATATATATTAAGACATATTATCTAATTATAATCAATAAAAGGCTACTACTAGTCTATATTAAGAATACTTTATTTGTTTTTGAATTTTATTTATTTTTCTTTTTTCCTTTTTTCAATTCAGTCTTTTATTTTATTATTCACCTCTTTTAAAATTCTTTTACTTTTAGAAGATGTGGTTTTTTTATTTATAATATCTAAGACTATACTATTTTCCTTGTTTCAGATCTTTGCTCTAAGTAACTTCTTTTTTTTACTTTTTTTTTTCTGTAGATTAATGCTTTTTTCCTTTTCTCAATTAGATATTACTTCACAACAGAACTTTTATAATCTTTTAAAAAAGTTTGTTCAAAAAATATTAATAAACTAAACTATTATCTGATTAGCTTTAGAATTAGAGTTTACAAGTTTTCTAATTTCTTCAACTTAATTTTTAATCATTAGACCTTGGATATAAAACTTTTTTCTCTTAATTTAGATTTCTAAATCTATTTCTAAGATTGTTTCTTTTAGTCTTAAACTTGGTATAGATATATCTCATTTTTTTAAAAGTTTAAAGTCTAGTTTTTTTATAATAGCTTCTTCAATATGTTTCTATATTCTTTAATAAATTATACATTCTGTTAGATAATTTAATATTTCTTTTGTAGCATAGCAAGCAGTACATATATCACTTTAGTATAGTTTTAGATATCACAAATAGTACATGTCTTGAGTTAGTAGTAGTTTATTCAAGTATTTTATTCTAAATATTAATACTTTCTTTTTTTTAGACTTGTGTACTTTCTGCTTTATTGATTTTTTAATATATTCTAAGTTAAATTCTAGTTCAGATCTTTATTACTATTACTTTTTGAGCTTAAGTTTGTTATATCTTTTGAATTGCCTAACTCTGCCTATTCTGTTTTATATATAATAGATATTGTTATATTTGCAAATAGAATAAATATTAGTTTATACTAGCAACTTTATTAACTTATTTTTATTATATTTTAATATTCTTCTTGTTTTTCTTTCAAATAATGATTTAGTAGCCTTTATTTTCCTTGCTTTTTTCTATAATTAAAAGTATGATAAATATTAAAATTGATAAAAAATTAGGGCTGTGACAGATATTACGTAATATTTTTATACTATAAGGGTACCCCCCTCCCCCCTATGTAAGATCAATTATGATTAGCTGATTTCATATTATAAAAAAATACTAGTTTATAGTTTTTAAGTAATTATAAACTAATAATATTTGAACATTAAAGTAATATAATCTAATTATAAAATTTAATTTATTTCGTTAGAAATTATCAATTTACTTTTGTACTTTAACAAAGTGACTTATAGCATTATATGTCTTGCCAAAAAACTCAAAAACCTTTCAACCTAATTTTCTTTAATAATACTTATATTATTTTAAAAGCTTCAAGATTCTAAATTAAGACTACTGCTATAAACCTCCACTTAAATATTTGAATAACTAAAGATTTAGCCTTATCAAGTATCTAATCAAGGTGTATGTATTTAACCTTTGGGTAATTCTTAGTATGAAATTCCTTTCTACATTACAATTAGTGTTAGATAAGGAATTGTTAAACAATGTGACTATAGCCTCTTAATATAGTAATTAATGTATGGCGCAAGAAAAAAGAATCTAATTCAAATTTGTAACAAAGTTGATAATCAAAAAAGTTACTTACAGGGAGAAAGCACATAGCATATCACGTTCAGACTTGTAGAGTTTCAGGGCTAAAAACAAATAGACTTAGCAATAACACTTCAATAACTGGGGTCTACGCATTTTTACAATTTGCATATTAGTTCAATTATGCCTAATATAAGATACAAGATCAAGTTTTACTTCTGATTACTGTTGTATATAAATCACCTTTGGAAGTCCATAGACGTTATCTTGAAACAAGGCATATCATTTCTATAGATTCAAAATTCAAAATAATGCCTATGGTTGTTATTTTATAACTTCATAGATAATATAATGAATTGTTGTAAAATAGATCGTGTGGTTTAAGTTAGTAATGAAATAAATAGAAAAGCTATGAAGTTATATGTATGTAATGAAAAAAACTCATGAGTATATGACACAAACTCTATCGCAAAGCTTATCTCAACTGACTTATTGAATTGCTATAAAAGAGTTATTATATATTATCAGCTAATATTTAAAATTAAATAATAAATTTGACCAGTATTCTATAACTCATATCTCTATTTTGTCGTATGAATATCTAACATAATAAGTCAGCAAACTTTTCTTTCCAGTCCAAAGTTCAATAAGACTTATATATACAAATCTCCTAATACCAAATATCAGCAGTTTACTAATGCATTTGCATACCATTTAATGGTAGAAAATGAAAATCTAATTCTAGATAAATTAAATATATGTGATGCTACTACAAAAGAATGGAACAAAGTTAAAAAAATTGAAGAAACTAGAATTGACAATATTATAAAAGAGTATTTAGCTACACCCATTAAATTAAACGGATTCATCAGGTCTACTACTTCATCTCAAAAAACAAAAAATCCAGAAATTACAGGCAGTAGTTCTTTCCATACTGCAATACTAACAACAATTCCTATAGAAGAAGAAATTCAGAATAATGCAACAGCTCAAAAACAGATAGCTAGTTCTAAAGAAATTGCTGAAAAAAAAGTTAAAGAGTTAGAACAAATATATAATATTATCACTGATTCATAGCTTTTGCATGATTTATATAATAGAATTAAAAGTCTAAGAACTGATATTCAATCGCATGAAAAAAAATGCAAAAATTAAAAAGAAATGCTGAATATCAGTTCAAATGTCGTTCTAAAAAAACTAAAGCTATAGTAGAGCGACAAGAGGTAGTTAGATATGATAAAAGTAGTAGACCATCATTCTTACTTTAACACCCGGATTTGTTAGAACATATAAATGATTCAGTTGAGTATGGATCAGCAGATGCACATAGACATAAAGAAGCTATTAAAGTAAGGATTGTAAGTCATCAACGAGAAAACCTTGAAAAAAACTATGGTATCTATATGGCTAAAACAACTTTAAACAACTATCTTCTGCCTCGTCACTCTAATTCAGTTGCAGCAAAGGCTCACTATCATCTCACCTGGATAGCTGTAGCTAGAGTTTCATGTGATGAAACAAAGTATCATCCTGATGGTCACTATTGTCTTGCTTCTGTAAAAGGAGCAAGGCAATTGGCACAAACCTTTGCTGAATTTTCTGTTATCATCTCACAAGATAATAAAGCGAAAATAAGTTTAGGTATAGCTGCAGTTGGCAGAACATTTCATACCTTGTAATCATCCTCTCAACCAGTCCAAATACCTGACTATGACTTTGTACATGGAAGTAATCAAAAACTTATTCCCTTAGTTTACCTTATAATTAAACTAAGTGAAGCTAATGATGACCTTTGGACAAGGCAAGTTGCAATTTTTGTTAGGCCTCAATGGTCAATCGGCACATTATCTATTACCCACATGGAAGATCTTACTTGTCTTGTATTGGATAATCAATATTCTGAAGCACTAAAAATGAATAGTGATATAAAACCAATATGGATATTATTAGTTAATGGTGGTCCTGATGAAAATCCCAGGCACCTTAAAAATATTGAATCATATTGCAAGATTTTTAAAAAATTTGACCTTGATTACTTGTCTGTACGTATGTATACCCTAGGCCAATCGAAATATAATCCTGTTGAAAGGAGTATAGCTATATTTTCTAGTAAGTTAGCTGGGGTTGTATTGCCAATAGATCATTTTGGAAAACACCTTGATAGTCAGAGTAGAGTTATTAATAATGAATTAGCAAATAAAAATTTTCATTATGCTAGTTCTATGCTAAGTGATATATAGAGTCGGGATCCTATCTTTGGAAAATATGTAAAAACAACGTATGTCGACAAAATAACTAATCTATTCGTGAATATTGTATTTGCTTGTGAAGGAGAAGAAGAAGTTAAAAAAGGAAAAAAAAAATTAAATCAACAAGATTTTGAAGATGAAGAAGAGAAAAACGGCTCTAATGAATTTGCTAATATTCCTGTTTCGTGAACCTGAATAGAAAAGCATTGTAATATATGTCAGTATTCAGTCAATATTAAACGTTGTACTGATCTAAGTTGCTGTGGACCTATCAAAGCGCAAGAGGCTATGGATTTTCTTCAACCCTTTAATGGTTTTTTTCCTCTCATTACCAAAGCTCGAGATGGACACTATCTTAACCCTGTTCACCTTCTTCAGTATTCTGAGTGTTTTAAAGTTCCTAAATATGATACCTATTGTCTATCTATTGACCAAACAACATATTCTCGACTTTGCTGCTCAATTTGTCATAAGTATTTTCCAACTCTATCATATGTAGCAAAGCATAAACGTTTACAACATTCATCTACTCATGGAAGGTCCAAAAAAAAACCAGAAATTTCGGAATCAATCGCAGAATTCGTTCTAATTACAAACTCTGCAACTATGGAAGACTTGAACTTACTATTTCTACAACAAAATGAAAATGAATTTTTTAACGAATGCAGAGAATGTTTTTCAGATATAGAATAAAAATATAATACAGTATTTTTTTTTTCTTTCCAATAAGAAAAAAAAAGCAGAACTATTCTTGGGCTATACAAATTTAATATCTCGGTTTTCATAAGATCTTTAGATAGATTTGGGCTAACTAGCTTTTTTTTAAAACCCCCCCTCCCGCTTATTAAAATATATTTTTTAAAGTTTTTGAATTTATTCTACTCGACTTATGAAAACTAAGTAACTAATTAATTTTGCCTAGCCTCATATATATGTACTTAGCTTTATATCTCTACGTACTCCCAGAACTATACGTATGTTAAGATCAATATAATCAATAATTTATATATTGCGTATCTTTAATATATCTGGCTGTTCGCTTTAGTTATTTTTGGTTAGCATTAGTTTAAATACGTAAGATAGTAGCTATAGTTTTTAAAATTATAAAAAATAATGTACAAGGCGTATATATTAAAATATAAAGATATTGTAACCACGAGTTTACTATATATATTGTACTATCGTACTGTATTTTCTTGATGTGTACATACTGTACTACTCGAGTATATAAGTATGGAGTATTACACTTATATACCTAGCATATAATAGTAAGGGAACTGTATACGTATTTTAGTTTAGTCCACAATACTAATATACATTCAAGTCGAAAACGAAATTTTTCATAAAATTCAGGTGAAATTCAAAATATTGTGGCGAAGCAATCAGTCAGCTACTATAAGAGAATTTATAAGAGACTCGAAAACTTTTAGTTTAGATTCGATTAATTCTTGGACAATAATAAACTAGTATAAGGTTTCTATAAACTTGAAATAAGTTATACTTGATAATATTAACCACTTATATGAATAACTTTTTTAATGAAATTCGTATAATCAAAAGTTTGACCAGTATTTGAATAAGTAAAATTCATCATTTTATTTAGTGAATAGAGATGATTTTGCGGATCATAACATTCTTGCCAGTTGTGACTTGTTTGATACAGAGTTTTATTTAGCCAATTAAGTGCATCAAATTATTATTAAAATTCCTAGCTAAGTGTTAAATAGAGATGAATCATGGGCTTTCTAAGATATATTTGAAATATATACTGTATTCAACCTATTTTTGTCTTTCCAAAACATATCCACGTTGTAAATACGTCAAATGAGTGACCATATATTCAGCATTCTTAACTTTGGATTTTATGCTATGTAAAAGATTCGCAAGTTAAATATATGAATTGTAAGGTGATCTCTTAAATATTTCGTCTGCACAACATAACTAATTGTCCATTAGCATTTTAATTTTTTGCCATGATATTGCATGTCATCATGCATACAAAAATTGCATTTCTAACGCTAACTGTCACAGATACCATAGCGTTCCTAAATGGGTTGGCTCAATAAGCTATTTATCACTCTCAAAGTAGCTCAAATGAGCTATTTGTCACACCCAAAGTATTTGTTATACAAGTATGACAAATAGCTAGCGTTATAAAAAAAATAAAGATATTAGTTAATACTGTATAATTATACTAAAAATATATTATACCGTATAATTACACCCCTACAAATAGCCCATTTAATACTTTGAGTATGACAAATAGATCAGTGAGCTTCTGTAGATGTGATAAATATCTTATTAAACTGGCTCATTTAACACTAGTTAGAACTTGTAGAATTTTGATACCAGAAAAAATAATTAACTATAAAAAAAAAAACACATAGCCGTGCTAATAATAGATTAAACCGGTTTTGAACGATAAATAGACCAAATTTATGAACTACCGTAAATAGTCATATACAAGATCTGATACATTCCACCAAAAAAGTTAATTAGTAAAAAAGTAAAAAATTAAAGTGTGGGATCCTTTATATGGCCATTTACAGTAGTTTTTAACTAGGTTGGGATTGGTTTTAAGTTTACTTCAATTGATATCAGTTGAAAAAGTGCATTACATCAGCCTTTTAAAGATATAATAACTATGATAATTATCTAAAATTTATATGTATAACAATCTCATTCTACTGTTTAAGTCTTTATATCAGCTTTCTTTAACTCTTGTTAGTAGCATATAGATCTCTTTAAGAGATTTTTTTGTTAGAAACTTCTTCTTTTGAACTGTCTTTAGAAATAGTTAGCTGTTTTTTTAAGAACTTCTTTTGGTTTGTTAAAGAGTTCTTTAATTTTTCACTCATTTATAAGTAATTTGTTAATTACAAATTTTTTTAAAAAGCTTTTCTAGCAAACTATTAATTATTCTTTTTTGATTGTCTCTAATTATTTCATATCTTCAGTTTATATATTTGTTTATTTCTAATTTGCTAACTACAGTATTTTTTACTACTAATCTGCTTTTTAATATTAACTACTATCTAGAGAACTCTTCTTGTAATTATTCACTCTACAAAGTCCCTAGTATTACTATACTTAACTCTGTTTTCTTATTTATTTCTTCTATCTTTTACTCAATTTCTAGTTGATCATTTTCTGTTCTTCTTGTTCCTATTTCTTTTTGTACTCTTTTACAAATTTTCTTATTATATTTATTGTATTTAGCAATTCTGAATAAATTTTTTTTGAAGCTTTGTTATAACCTGTGTTTAGTACTTTTTTATAAAGGATTTTATCTTCTGCTACTTGTTTGATACTATTATTTATAATATTTTACTCTTTGTTTAAATCTATACTATCTATAGATTCTTCATTGATCTCTTCAGTCTGTTTTTCTATCCATAGTTTTTGGTTTAATTTTTTCTTGAGTAGGTACTCTAACTAGTTTTTGTAATAATTATTTTATTTTTTTTATTTTTTTATTTTTAAGGTAGTTTACATTGCTGAGTAGATTTTATTAGTTTGATATATAATGTTCTATATAGGGTTCTCTTATAGTTTATAATTATATGAAGAGTGTATAACAAGTCTTACATACAACTTTAGTCATTGTCTAATTTAAGTAGTCCACTACACAGATGTTAAACTATCTGATTAGTTCTACACTATGCTACTATACCTGTAATCTAGCTATAAGTTATTTATTTAAATACTCTATTCAACTAATCTATACCATTACAAACTAATGTCACTATATCGGGGACGCAAATCACTAACTCTTCCCATAGATCACTTGTACCAAAACTTCCCAAAAACATTTGTTCATAACTAAATATTTTAC